TTATGCAGTATATTTGTTTATGCTAGATAATATGTGTTATGGTAGTTGATAAGTGTTTATGCTATGCTATGATCAATCAGTTCTAGACTTTGGTTTTAGGTACTTCCGCAAGTAAAGTGAAGAGCTCGGGATGATGGCATCGCACACACCACAACTTCAGTCTTTGTCCTGGGACTTTGTTTTGAATCATAGTTTGATTTGATACAGTTGTTTCACGATATTTTATTATGATTTGAGATATTTGACGTATGATTTTATGATATGACGTTCAGTATATGATTTTTATTATTATTAAAACAAAAAAGTTTGGGTTGTATTTTTGGATGTTACATAAGGTCTCCTCGAAGCAAACACCTTAATAGAAACCATATAAGTTCATTCCTTATTCATTTGTTTATACATTCAATAATACAACCATTTTAAACAAATTATATTATTTATAAATTAGTTGTTGAAATAGTAATATAGAATGATATTAGTTACCTAGATACATTAAGCGTATGTATTTACGTATAGTTTCATGAACCACCTTATATAAAATCACTAATCTACCGATTATGTATGAAAATACTAAAAAATATTATTATGAAAACAAAAAATCATAAATAAAAAATTAGATTAAATGAATTTAACGCGTCGAAAATCACTTTAAGTGTATTGATATTCGGAGTTTGAGTCCTTGCAATCTAATCAAATATATTATTATTTTACAATTATTATTTTTTGTGATTATTAGAATCCGACAATTAGTTAACTAAAAGAAGTAGTAAACATTGCAATGTTATAATAATAAAAAGTAGGTTTTTAGTTTCTTAATCCATCATATACATTAATTTTATCACTTTAATACCTATATTTACAAATAAATAAATAAATAAAACAAAAAAAAAAAAAAAACACACAAAAAATATAATATCCAGTATATAATTAAACAAAAAATACATCAACCAACTTCTTCTTCTTTATATGTTAAAAAAATCAATGATGACAAATGAAATACATAACCTATTGTTTGAGGTTCAACGACAATGGTTACATATTTTATAGCAATAAACTGTAACTAATCCATTCGTTGTTATTTTTTTGTTGTTTTGAATTTTGATTTGGAATAGAAAGAAAAGATCATATAAATAAATAAATATACACTACAATTGAATAAAGTAAAATGCTATAATACAAAACAAAAACAAAAAACATAGCACAGTAAATATACTAAGTTGTAATCTAATAACTTAATTATTTAAAGTATAATGCTATAATAATAAAAAGTAGGGTTTTTCAGTTTAAGTATCTTTCTTTATTTTCCTTTTAAATCTTCAATTGCCAAGAAATACCCTCCTCAAATTGATTTAGAAATTTATTTCGGGTTGTTCTCGTTTTGGGACTGCTTTTTGAATACATTTTATCATTTAGGATGTAAATGTGTATTAGATGATTGATTGTTTAAGAACGATTCAGTTGTTATTTTCTCTTTGCTACTCGAGTATATATTTGTATGTATACTTACGAGCTAAGAGAAAATGATGCAAAATTTTACTTAAATGGTCAATCAAGTAATACACATTCACATATGAGGTAATGTATTAAAAAAGTGGGTTTAGAAGTCTAACCTTGTGAATACTCTATATGATTGAGCGATTACTCTATCCTTATAAATATTTAGTCATAATTTTAGTTCTTGTCAAGTAAACACTAAAACAAAACTTATGTTTCAGTTGTAACATGTATATTGATAAAAACTAGACTACTATTGAAAACCATAACTCTACCTTGTTCCAACAAGGACTCGAATCTTTTCTCAAGAGGTCCAAACCACACGTCGAAAATAAGGGTCATATCAGATGCCTGTGTAACAAATGTAATATCAATAAATTTATACTACTAGCCATAGTAAAATTCCATACACTTCAACATAGATTTAGTCCAAATTATATTATGGAAGTATTATGGAGAAAATACAGTTTATCCAGTTGTCGATGACATACCGCGTAGTAATGAGTTGGCCAATGTTATTGTTGATGTTATGTCGGTGTGATTGAAAATGATACAAACAATGATAAAGGAAGTCAGATACAGAGGGTGGCGGTTTCGATGATGGATTTCAAAAGATGTTAGAGGAAGTCCAATTAAAATCATATCCTAGATGTTCTTTTTTGTCCGTTGACTTTTTAGCAAAGCTGATGCATATCGAGGTGATCAATAAGTGAACATTTTAGCAAAATGATGCATATCAAGGTGATGTATATCATAATTATCACATTCTTATGCAACGTTTGATACCCATTTGAGTTAAAGGGATTTTGGGCAAATGTGTTTATACACCAATAGTAAAAGCTTTATAAGTTTTTTAAGCAACTTTGCTCAAGAACACTATCGGTGAAGGGTATGAAAGATGTGAAAGCAACCATTATTAAAATACTATGCAAATTAGAAGTGATCTATCCTCCTGCGGGTTTTGATAGTATGGTTTATTTAGTTTTGTATTTACCTAATGAATGTATTTGCGGAGGCCCAATATGTATGAGATGGATGTAACCCTTCGGAATGTATATGAAAAAACTAAATAACTATGTAAGAAACAAGGCGAGGCTGAAGGTTAAATATAACTGAGGGTTATGTCGTTGAAGAGGAATTATCATTGAAGAAACAATGTTATTGGTGTTTCAGTGTAAGTGTCGACTGTCTAGCACAAACAAAATGAAAAATCTCATTCTGGAGGAGAGAAAATGTCTACAATGTTTTGTGCTTGATAGTTGTGAAGAAGTCAGAAAGTATATTACATAAGAGTTCTTATCTTTTAATTGATTGTCTGTTTTTTAATTTCTCTTTTTTTATTTATTAAACATAATATATTTTTTTCATCAATGTAGTGAATTCAAATCATTACATCCTGAAAGTGATGAAAAAACCAAGTTCCTTAAACGGTGCCTTCACAAGGTCTATGATACGCAAAAACAAAAATCTCTATAGTTTAACAAGGAGTTATCGACTCGTTCAATTGGTGCGTATGTGATGCCCAACGATCAACACAAAACGCGGGGGGTTCTAACTGAGAGAGACAATAAGCAGAAATATTATGATCAGCTAGAAGAGATTCTCGATTTGCTTTATCCTCATAAATATTCCACTGTAATTTTTCATTGCAAGTGGTTAGATACTGTAGGAGTTAAAAATGATAATAATTTCGCATGTATCGATCCAGAACGTGAGGTGAGCATCGAAGGTCAACTCATATTTGCTATGAAAGCCAAGTAAGTGGTTTACATCCAAGTACATTCTCGAATTGACGAAAATCACAACCAACGTTGTTGAAAATGTTAATCCTAAAAGAATTTGGGATCTACCGATGAATGATTTTGACCATGATCCCATTGAAAATGTCGACAATGATTCAACATATGTCATTCTTAGTAATGCTTTCTCTAATTTCACTCTTTCAATCGACTTTAGCTAGTACTTTCAAAATTCTCATCGTTTGAAGATAATATTGAAGTTGGTCCACCAACACGTATCAACAATAAAGTGTCTGACTGCGAGATTGATTATGATGAAGAGAATTTTGATTATGATAATGATGTGTCAGCAGATACTGAAGTGTCTGAGGGCAAGAATGATTAAAAAATCTTTACATATGACTAGTAAAATAAAATTTGTACTTTTTGTAATCATATCATATTATATGTATATATGTTTGTGTATACACACACACATATTATGTTATATTTTTTCAGGATGTCATTTTGTTTATTGCATTGCTCCATCTCATGGTTGTTGTGATGAGTCATAGAGGTGACCGTGGTGAGAGGCACAATAAATCTATATCCTTGGGAGAGGCATAGCTTCTTTGATCGGAAGAATGAAGATGCCCGGATTTGATCATTGGTGCTAAGAATAATTAGAATATTAACACTAACATCTAGTAATCAAAGTTTCGTTAAAAAAATATATATGTATTCTATATGACATAGAAGAGAGTTTTTGGTGAGTTGTAAGAAATACAGTGCAACCCCTAAACTTTTGTTTTGGGGTCCGCCCAGTCAGCCATTGCTCTCCATTATTATCTACTAAACACTAATCAAATTCTAGTGCCTTGTGTTTTTTCCTTTTTTCTTTTCCTTTTTCCTGGAAGGGTTTCCACCAAATTACATCTTTTTCTCGGCTGTTTTTGTTTTTTATGCGTGTATTCTACATCATCTAAATTATTCCTCATCTATAGGTGTGTCCTGTTAATGTTCTAAGATCATAACATGCTGCTAAGTACGACATTCACTCTTTAGACCATATGCTTGAACTAGTTGCGTTCGGCGTGGATTGGTTGGAGTCAACAAGATTCAATCTTTTCAGATTAAATATAACATATTGTCCATTGTATCAGATTTGATAACATATATTTTTTGATCAAATTAAATATTTTTGTTAATATCTACAAATAAGTATAAAAGTAGGCCAATTTATAAATCTAGTAAAATTCTATGCTTAATTATGTCAATATGTGGAATATGTTTTTGAACATTACAATGAGACATAACTTGACACGTATGAGACAGTAGCCAACAAATGCTGACCGCGAATATTTACCAATGGCAGTATAGAAAATTTTACACTAAAAACTAAAAAGATTGTTTATCTATTCATCACCGACGTCAAACTTATCATACAGTTCTTTTTAGAATAAACTAAAGCGGTGGCGAATCATCCGACCTTAGATTGTCATCCCAACTGATCTTTGAATTGCGTGATAATATATGATAATAATAAATATCGCTGACAAAACCTTCTGCCCATGCACATATATTATCTTTCTCGGAGTTCACACAACTTTAAACGGCGATCAGTCTATATAAAATATAACCCCATTTGTATCATCTCTCTCAGATAATTTATTTCGACACTGAAACTATGGAGTTGTCTCTCCCGCTTTCAACGACTTTTACGGCTATCTTTTTCGCCCTCATACTAACTTTCATGCTGCGGATCTTGAATGGTAGGAGAAGAAACAAAGCGAAAAACAGAGAACCACCTGAAGCAAAGGGCTCATGGCCTATAATCGGACATTTGCACCTTCTAGGGGGATCTGAACTACCTCAGAAGGTTTTAGGTTCCATGGCAGACATATATGGTCCTATCTTCACACTAAAACTTGGTGTCCACCGAGCATTGGTAGTGAGTAGCGGGGAGATAGCTAAAGAGTGCTATACCACAAACGATAAGGTGTTTGCAAGTCGACCTAAGTCTATGGCAGTAGAACTCATGGGATATAACTACGCCATGTTTGGCCTTGCTCCGTATGGGGACTACTGGCGACAAGTGCGCAAGATCATCATGCTTGAGGTTCTCTCTCAGCGACGAGTGGAGATGCTTGGACATGTTCGAGCTTCAGAGGTTAGAGAATCAGTGAAAGATGTATATGAAGCATGGGTAAAGAACAAAGAGAGTGAAAGTTCAGACGTGGTCAAGGTCGACATGCAACAATGGTTTGGGAACTTGATACTAAACGTTATTGTTAGGATTGTTTCAGGAAAGAGGTTTTCACCTAACGATGAAGAAGGGATTCGATTTCAAAACGTGGCAAGGAGATTCTTTGAGTTATTGGGCGCATTTGTGGTGTCTGATTTCATTCCCTTTTTGAAGTGTTTCGACCTGGGGGGATACAAGAAAGACATGATGATTACAGCAAAAGAGATGGACGACATCTTTGAAGGATGGTTGCAGGAGAACAAGAGAGAAAAAGAGTCTAAAAAGCAACATGAAAGTAATCAAGTCTTCATGGATGTGTTAGTTTCGGTTCTTGAAGGTGCCTCTGAAGAAGAATTCCCTGGCTTTGACCACAATACGATAATCAAGGCCTCGTGTTTGGTAAACTCGAACTTCATGATCTATATTTCAATTACTTTATCATTATAAATTAGTAATTAACATGTGTTACAAGTTTATGGAAAGGCTTTGAGAGAGTGCATTAAGGATATGTTATAAAAGAAAAAGTAAATTATGAGCATATTGCGTGTAATCTAATACAAGAACGTTTGGCAAACTTTAAATTTTTTTAGGCCATTCTAATCGCTGGATTGGACACAACATCTGTCACTTTAACATGGGCGTTGTCTTTGTTACTCAACAACCCAAGAGCATTAAAAATTGCCCAAGATGAAATTGATGAACATGTTGGAAGGGAGAGACTAGTAGAGGAGTCAGACATGAAGAATTTAGTCTACCTTGATGCCATCATCAAAGAGACATTACGTTTATACCCAGCTGGACCTCTATCCGTTCCACATGAGTCCATGGAGGATTGTATTGTGAGTGGCTACAACATCCCTAAAGGCACACGTTTGTTGCTTAATCTTTGGAAAATGCATCGAGATCCTAACATATGGTCAGATCCCAACGAATTTCAGCCAGAGAGATTCTTGACAAGTCATAAAGATATTGATGTCAAGGGAAGTCATTTCGAATTGCTTCCTTTTGGTAGTGGTAGAAGAATGTGTCCTGGTGTTTTCTTTGCTCTCCACGCATTGCATTTCACATTAGCTACATTAATTCAACAGTTTGTGCTTAAAAAACCATCAAATGAGCCTATTGATATGCGAGAATGTTCTGGATTGACAACAGGCAAAGCAACACCACTGGAGGTCCTTCTGGCCCCCCGTTTATCGCTTGACATGTATCTTGTTAGTGCATAGTAGATCAGCTTCAATTAATGAACCAACCCCACTCCAACTGCCCTCGCCTGCTAATTAAAGTGGATGTGAAAGATATCAACTTTAGGTAATAGGCAGAAAATATGGTGTCAACAATATCAGCAGGACTATTATGCAATAAAATTATTAGTATATAGCTACATGAATTAATTTGATGTCACGTAATTTGTGTTTTAGTATATAGGCTCATGCTATTGATTTCTTTAATACTAAAATATATTAAAAGAACTATAAATTATCATTGGTGAATTTTTATTATGTTTTTTTTTCTTTTTTTTTTTTTTTTTTGTACCCAGGTAGATATGGGCTACTAAAATGTGATTAATCTAACAAATGAACAGTCTTTTTTAACAAGAAACACCTTTAATTATTAGCAAAAACTCTAGCTGGAAGCAAGATATACGAAAGCGAGCGACATTCTTATTGAGAATACAAAGACGATTTATCCAACTAATTAAGTAACCTAGCTCTTTTTCTAGTCCATTGAAAGAATGTGTTATACACAGTGCTTTAAAAATCAGTTTAACTGGCCGATTTTATGCTACGTTCTAGATTAGATGGAATCAGACAATTTATCCAACTAATTGGTGTGATAGAACCGGTAAAAAAACATTTTGAACCGGTTTATTGGACATGTATAGCTCGATCATTCACATTATCCAAAGTGTACACAACAATTCATTTCCAGTTAAGTTGAATAACTCGATCATTCCGGTTATCCAAAGTGTACACAACTCGAAGCTGAGACACACCACTGCTAGTTGTAAATTGGTAGTTCAACCAACTGAATCGATAGTTGAACCGGTAAACCAATTCAACTAAAAAATCAATTTTTAAAATATTGGTTATATGACTAGCCAAATAGGACATGGTTTCGTTGTAAACCGAGACATATTATGAAAAAACTAAGATTTATAAATGAATAAACTATATGACCCGGTTAGACACAAAGAACCGGGGTATATGTTCAATTTAAGTAACTTGGATCCCAACATAATTAGCGGAACTTTTAGCTTTATTGGTATGTGACTAGGCCTCCAAAAAAACAACCGAGTTGTATTAATATTACTTGGAGAGACACATCCTAAGAAGCTATATGACCTATTTTTCAACAACCAGACTTTTTGACTTCATTTAGGCAAATATAAATGTAGGTTAACAAATGTCAAAGCTTAGAAGCTATATGACCCATTTTTCAACAACCGGGATTTTTGACTTCATTTAGCAAATATAAATGTGGCTTAATTAATGATAGAGCTTGAATATACAAATAACATTTGATGTCTCATTTTCTTCTATTTTCGAGTTTTGTATTAGATCAGGTGATAATTCGCTGTTTTGGTATGATAATTGGTCCGGATTTGGTAAATTCGCTATTTTATTCTTGTCCCTGTTTGAATTGGATAAGAAAAATTTATCTTTGTTTCTGAAAGAATGTAAAATACAGGTCCTAATTGTTGGATTACATATCTGAGCCCATAACTATAATTGTTATGTACTTGAGTTCATAGTAGCACAATCTTTTTGGCTTACCTTCATACTAGCCACTAGACATGATGACCTATTGAGAAAGAAGAAGAATTTATTATTTGGAATAATAAATTAATATATAAAATGATTTATTATATATTATGAAAATAAAATATCAATTAGAAATAAAGTTATTTGATTAACATTTAATCAGAAAATAATTTGAAATTAATTTTAGGATTAAAGGAATTAATTAAAAGTACATTGACTATTTAGCAATTAATTAATAGTTGTGGTTTTGAGCTCATGGACCACCCTAGAAGGGTTGGACGAAAACTTCTAGGGAGACCCTATAATTGTCATCCAAGGCCTTATGGATTGCGAGTCCATGGCGGCTTAGGCGTTAAGCTGGAAATTAGGGTTTCATCCAGCAAACCCTAGTTTTGGCTCTAAGCAACCAACAACTATACAAGTAGCTTCTACCATATTGATTTCGACCTATGCTTCAAAAACCTAAGAACAACCGAATTCTTGAGCTTCCTCCTCATCTCTCCTCTTATCCTCTTGCTTAGTGTGTTTGTGATCTATTAGAGGTGTTACACTTGTGACACTTGCTCTCAAGTCCAAGATCATCAAGGATCAATAAGGATTTCTTGTTTTGTGTTCAATACTTGCATGTCCAATAGTGAAAACATAGATCCTACAAATTAGTGTTGCATGCACATATAGGGATTGTTTGTTTTGTTGAAAACCTATCAGTGGTATCAGAGCCTTGGCTTGTTTTATACTCAATTTGATGCAATTAGTTGAACTTGACAAGATTAGGGTTTATAGCAATTAAACCCTTGGCCTTGTGATTTTCGCAAATTAGGGTTTCATACCCTTGTTTTCGAAAATTGCAAAAGGGTTTTAAACATTTCCTTTGGCTTACCAATTTTTGAGATGTAGCGTTTCCTAACTATAGGTTTTTCGAATTTTAGGCAAGGATTGAAAACATTGCCTTCCTCCCCAAGAAAAGGGTAATTTCAAAAATTAGGGTTATGGGTAGGGTAGGTATTTTTGGTAATTATCTTCTTAGTTTGTTAACTAGATAATTATAGGATTTTATAATTATCCATCCCATTATTTCAAAATTTAGGGGATTGGGATTAGGTTAAATTATTTTGATTAATTTAATGGATAATCCCCAAATGATTTAATAAATTAATTAAAGGTTAATTAATAGATAATTCTTAAATCAAAGTTTTTTGAATTATAAAATTTCAATTAAAATTGTTTTTAATCTTTTAAATTTTAATATATTTGAAAAATCTAGTATTTTGAAATAATAAAAATACACTATTATACTATATGTAAAATTAGAAGTTTAATATTTACTATATGTATAAGCCAAGTCAGTCGAACCACTAGTATGCTGTGACAACTGTCAAAATTTGAGGTGGTTCTAGATTTGAATAAACTTAGTTGCACATATAGGCACGAAACATATTAGACTTAATAACTAGAAGTAAGATATAACCTATTAGAAACTTGGAAACAGTTAGAAACAATGGATAATATGCTTGGATTTCACATCGGTATGTGAATTCTACTATTACTTAACTGTAGAGGCTATCTATATTCGGGTCACTCTTTGACTCGAACACCATTTCATGAATCATACACACATCATGCACTTGACCTAGAAGTAGAAATTAGATCAAAGTCTCATAGAAACTTAAGTCAAAGTTGAAGACTATGGCTAATATACTTGATTCCTCAATTTTGTTTGAATCTCGGAATCACTACATAGAATGCCAATAAACCGATAAAAATAAATTACAAACATTATTTATAACTATAAAAGAGTTATAATACCATAAGATAATTTAAAGTCTCAAATATTATATTTATTTTGATATTCAAAGCTTATTAAACTCCAAAACCCTAAATACCTAAGTTTATAAAATTTAACCTCAAAAATTATATGAAAAATAATTATGAACCTTACAATATCAATTTAAAATAATTTAATTTAGGAAAAATATAATCAATGGAAAATAAAATTTAGGTCACTGATATTAATATTATTCCACAAGTTTAAAAAAAAATCATAAATAAAGAACCAAATTCTATTTAAAATGCAAATTTTATAAAAATTTGGAAAAAGTTTATAAAATTAAAAAGAAACAATTTAAATAAATGAAAGTAAGAGAGAATCTCCTCTCTCCTCTTTAATTTTCGGATCTCTTCTCTCTCATCTATTTCCTCTTCCCAACACACTCAATCACTTTCCTGACATACCCACTCCATCTTTTTCCCTCTCATTTCACTCTCACACTCTCACACACATTTTCTCTCTTCCTCTCTCCATCAACCACGAAATTCTCCAGAAAATGGGTCATAGAACACACCTTGAACTCTAAATCTTAATCATCTTGAGGTGTTCTTAAAGGTAAACCCGAAAATCATTCATTTCCCTTCTCTTTTCCTAAAAGTTTTACTTGTTTTCATGGATTTTCTCCATCTTCTACTCCATTCTATGGTAAAATCATGAACACTTGCTCAATCTCACGGTTTTGATGATGATAGTGGTAGGATTTCACTCAAAAACAACATGCATGTTGTAAATGGTGAAATCCAAGGACCAAAACCTAAGTCGAAATCAACATAATGCGCTTCTTCTACAAGTTTTGGGTGAAAAACACTACATGCATCCAAAGTTTTCTATCAAAAATGATTTTTGAACATTTCAAATTCATGATTGGTCTTCTAACAAACATGCATGTGATGATCTTCAAGCTTAGATGCTAGATCATCAAAGTATGTTGTTAAAAGCTTTCAAATATGTTCATGAAGGATTTATTTCCAAATAAATATCTAAAACTCATTTTTTGACCAAATCCGATTTTTCCAAGATTCCCATCAACAAAATCAGATGTTCAACAAATTTTCAGAAAATAATTCATTTTTCTCGAATTATTATAATTATTGAAATAAAATAAGGCAATAAATCAAATAAAATACTTTCTTAGGTCTATAAATCCTAGGTAAATTCATGGATGACCCCTATGCGAAGTAATGACACTAAAACAAAAATTTCATCGGTTTTTGTAACTGTTTAATATGGTTTTGAATTTTGTTTTTGTTTGGCTCCAATAAATCATAAATCCACTTTAGAGAATGTGAAAATGATATATAACAATTTTTGTAGTTGCTACCAGAGGTATAAAACTCAGAAAAATATTTTCAGAATTTTTCATAATGCATTCCTATTTTTCCCTGATTTTTGTATTTATAATGGCCTAAAAAAAGAAAAAATAGTTCTTCTCACCCAAAATTCATGGAAGTTTACTAGAACACTTTGCGGTACATTAGGAGGCCACATAAAAATTTTGATGAATTTTCTCTATTGTATACTATTTTTCTCTTATTTTCTAAGATTAAATACACAAAATCAGATTCCAATAGATAAAAACCACCTTTGGGATTTTTCCCAAATTATTTACATTGTAAATTAACTTTACAAAAACTTTGGTAATTTACTTTAACTGTTTAATAATTATTCTCCAATTAATGATTATTTAAGACGATAGAACAAAGAAAAATAGAAAGACTAATTGAAAAATATCTTTTATATTTTTCACAGCTTCTACATGTATAATAAAAGTGTTACAAAAATTTTGGGCAACTTTGAAAACTATTTTCTATTTATTTCAATTTTTATTAGAATAAATGCTCAAAAATCATAAATTTGGGTTAAATAGTTTGGAAATCCATTTTTATATTTTTGCCAG